AGATGTTCTGCGGGAGAAAGATGAGGCTTTCTGCTCCTGTAAAGATTTACAGCCTCGGAAACCCTGTACAGGGTCGCTATGAGTTGGAACCGACTCCATGGCACATAACAACAACAAAATTTAATTGTTGGTGGTGCGAACAATTAATGTGTTCAGATGTTAACTGGAAGGTCGGAGGTTCAAATCCACCTAGAAGGACCTCAGAAGAAAGATCCAATGATATCTTTTTGGAAAACCAGCCACCGAAAGCCCTACTCTAAAAAGATCTACTCTCAGAATCAACTTGACAGCAACTGTTATAGTCTGAGTGCCTACTTGTCTAGACCTGCCGGACCACTCTGGAGGGCTGCCTATATAGGCTTTTATGATGCTTTTGAAACTATGAAATTACCTCTTCTACCTTGAAGGACATGTCTAGTCTCAGGTCCCAGTCGCCTTTGATGGAATTTGTTTCACTTTCAAACTGGGCTTTAATGTTAGCATTAAATCTAATTTTGAATAAGAGGCAACAGTCACTTTTCCTAAGATATTAACCGAGGATCTATTATGTTCCAGTCACTGGGGACACAAAAGACAAGAAGTTTGTGGAAAAACAGAACTACAAGATAATGGAATTTTCCCACCAACTTTTTGAAGCCCCCTCATATATAATGTGGCGCTACAGGATAAACATTGACTGCAAGATTGTTTTAAGCCGAAAGGTTGGCAGTCAAACTCACCAGCCACTCCTTGGAAACCCTATACGGGGTGGTCGTGAGTCGGAATTGACTTGACGGCAGTTATAACAGCAACGTATATGGTTATACCCACAGCTGCTTAACAGTTTAGTCTCAAGGCATCTTATGGGGAATCCTCATCTGAATCACGTAACATAGGAAGTGATTTCAGTGACTAACTTTCTTAATTCTCCCCAACATGGTTCATCACCAGTGCTTATGCTGGATGCATGGAGAGAAGTTAATTTCCTCCACACAGCAGATGCCTCTGTGTATTACAAGTCTGCTTGCAGAACTCCAGTAGCATCCCAAACAGTCACATACTTAAAACAGCTTGACATGCACAATAAGAAGTATGCACCAACTCACTAGTGACAATCTATTTAAAAATCTTAACATCAATAATTATCTAGCAAAAATCTGTAAAAGCTTCTTAGTACTGGGCTTAATAAAAATAATTATAGAATTAATTTTTTAAAATTTATAGTGACTTTTAAAAGACTGTGACAGTGAAAGCTATGTTGTGATAAGATTACCATTAGGCAGCTAGCATTTATGGCATGCTGTCTATGTATCTGGCACGATTCAGATCAGTTAACACACAGCATTTCCTTTAATCCTCATAATCCCACCCCAAAGGGTTGCTATCCTTATTTTATAAATGAGAAAACAAGGTCTTAGAGGGTTAAGAGACTTTCTTAAGGTTAAACTAGTTAAGACAGGTCAAGAGAATTCAAATCTAGTCTGTCTGTTTCAGAACCTAAGCTTCCAAGTGATTAAAAAGTCTCCTCCTTCCAATGAAGACAAGGTAAGCATTCTTTTAAAGTTAAGGGCTATTATAAATATAACACAGAATTGTGTCATAGGTATGGGGGAAAGATATAAAACACAAACCTCATATTCTGAATAACAAAGAAACAGAAGAGATCCCTAAATTTAATAGAGTATTTAAAAGAGTGCTGTTATATATACTTAAATCTACTGAACAAAGTAAAATTCTAGTTAAATGACACACAGATTTTAAAACTTACCTTTATGAAGACAAAAGGACTCACGATTAAGTCATCAAGTATTACCAAGGAAACAAGAGCTGACTCACAATTTTACTTTTCATTGAAAACTTTTCTTTAAAACTGTATTAAGAAATTCATTCTCTCTCTCTCTTTTTTAGCAGCAATGTATACAACAATACACCTTGGATTCTTCTTATCATTTAATTAAATTTGTCAAAAATAAAAATAATTTGAGAAAACAGAGTACTATACTTTTTCAGTAATGTTGCAATCTTCAAGTTTTTTGTGTTGAGGCATTTTCTGATGAGCTGAATTTAGAGTAAACACACAGACGAGATACATGTTTCTCAATGGCTTCATGTGGATCATGTTTTCCATTTTAGAACTAAAACTGTTGTGTGACCAGGTGTTTCTTCCGCCGTCCCCACCCCAGGCCCTATTAACTTGTTGAGTTGTCAACACAAATTATTCTCAAGTTTAAAAAATGATGCTTAAAAAAAAAAATGATGCTTACCTTTTTGCACTTAAATTCATGTCTTTTCACCAAAACCATCATCACTCTCTATTGTGGCGCTGTAGTTTCAACCAAGTCGGAGGTTAAAACTCACTAGCTCCTTGGAAACTCTAGACAGGGTCGCTATGAGTCAGAAACAACACGTCCAGTCCAATCTAACTCATAGGACCCTGTAGAGGGTTTCCGAGGAGTGGCTAGTGAGTTTTAACTATTGACCTTGCGGTTCAAACCAATCTTGTCCAGTGCTTACCCTACAGCATCACACCAGGAAATTAAATTTCTCCTCAATGTCATGTCAAAAGCTGTTTTCTTTTAATATATGATCAGAGTGAGCAAAGTATGTATTCTGTCAAAACAGCAACCTCCCACTGATCTCCCCAGGAAGGTGTCTTTCCAGGTCTGAAATCCTAATTCTGACACTTTCTTAGAGATACATAATTTTTATGTATATTAACTCATGGAAGCAGCAGTCAAGAAATCAAATAACATATTGCACTGGCAACTCTCCCGCACAAGACCTCCTTAAAGTGGTTAAGAGCAAAGAGGTCAGGTGCGCCTGACCTAAGCCACAGTATTTTTAATCTCTTCATATGCATGTGAAAGTTGGACAATGAATATGGAAAACTGTAGAAGAGTCATTATATTTGAATTATGGTATTGGCAAAGAATACCGAAAGTAGCATGGACCACCACAAGAACACACAAATCTGTCTTGGAAGAAGTATACCCAGAATGCTCCTTAGAAGTGAAGATGGCAAGACTTGTCTCTTGTACTCTGGACATGTTGTCAAGAAGCAGCAGCCCTTGGAGAAGGACACCATGCTCGGTAAAGTGGAGGGCCAGTGAAAAAGAGGCAGACCCCCAACAAGATGGACCGACACAGTGGCAGCAACATTGGGCTAAAACGTAACAATTGTGAGGATGGCACAAGATCAGGCAGTGTTTTGTTCTGTTGTGCACAGGGTTGCTATGAGTAGAAACCAACTGGCTGGCACCCAATAACAACACTAACTTAAATAATGCAACTCTCCTGTCGTCATTTGCCTGTAACTCAGATGAAGAATTTTCTTTTAAATCAGATGAAGGCATGAGTCCAGCACTCCCAGGCTTACTCGCTTGTACTTACTTGATGTACACATTTAAACCTTTTAAAAATAAGAACCAGGACACTGTTTAATGCAAATCTGAAGCCCTGTCCAATTCTCAGAGTCAAATACGTTTGTATCTAAATATCATTATTTAAATTTTTGTAATGATTTTTTTTGAGGGGAGGGATAATGAATTGTTCTTATTCTAACATTTAAGCACCAACAGGCACTGAATGTGAGAATCTAAGTTACCCAATGAGTCCTTGATCAAGAATAATCTGGGAAACTGGGCTAAGCTTGAGTGGGCGGTAGCGGTGTAATTAACTGTTCCCACATCTATCATCTTACATTAGGGAAGAGCGAGCCTTAAGTCTCATCTAACACACTTAGTCACTCGTTTTAAATGCTTGGTTTTAATACTAAATGGAGAACCCATTAATACTGACCCTCAGTTCTGTCTCAGAGGTTGTAATAATGGATTCATCCAAAACTCTTGACCGTACCACACATCCCAAACACTGGAATCACAGGCGGTACTGACTGTTTTCAGTTTGGAAGACAAATGAAACTCTAGAAATTCTCGTGAATTTCTTACCTTGTGCAAGCATGTTAAATTCCAAAAACAGTGCTATGTGGTAGAGTTCCATGGCTTCTTCGGCTCTCGTCATGTTTGACTTCCCAGCGACGAGAGCCTGAACTTCACTGAGACTCCCCACAGAGGGGGTACAGTGCAAAACGGAGAGGTCCACCAAGTCAGTATACATACAGTGTAATATAACTTTTGCGTATTTTTTTGGTATAATGGACTCATCCAATATAATTCTTGTGGGAGTCCTCAAAGTTCGGTCTGTGATCTCTTCACCAGTCCGTATCCTCCTTTGTAACAAATTTCGGAAAAATGGAGACCGTGCTGAGATAACAGCCTTGTGAGCTTTGAGCTCTTCGTCTAAACAGTTCTGATTTCCACCAAAAGCTTCAACCAGTTCAGAGTCTGAAGAAAAACTAAGAACAACATCATAATAACACATGTAGTCGAAGAGTCCACGCATATCCACATCGAGGGAATTTGGTGTTCCAAATTCTTCGCTAAGCTGAACAAGGATATCAACATTTTGAAACCTCGAGTCCTCCATCCCAAACTCTCCTGTGTAAAGGTAGTGTAACAAAGCAGAAAACATGGGCATATCGATACCAGCTGTGCTGATGTCCATTACTATCTCTGCTCCATACTCGGGGGAGGAAGAAAGCAGCGTTTTAAAAAATGGACACCTTGCCGCCAAAATGGCACGGTGAACAGGAAAACAAGTTTCTTGAAATATTAAGTCTACATCAGTACAATACTTGTATTCATAAAGATCAGCCATGTCTTTCTGTAATGTCCGGGCTTCTGGCCGAGCCAAACTGGCTTGTAGAGAAAGTTCCTTTAAGGCTGACGTTCCCTCATACTCCTCCACTAATGCATTGACATCTCGAACATCCCACCCAGAGAGGAGCTCTCGCATCTGCTTGGAGTGATCAACAGACCGGTTAGATTTTCGACGCTTAATAAACTTCTTTTTGAGGGTGGCAAGGCCAGAGGTTCTCTTTTTTTTGTCTTGTGGTTTCTCATGGCCATGGTCAAGGCTATATAATTTGGATTCACAACCATAGCCTTGCTGAGAATAGGATGATGTTCCTAAGAACAAAATGAAACGAAAGAAAATGTGTTATTTTTCTTTAACCTTTATTTTAAACACTCATTTTACTACATCTTCATGCTTAAAAAAAAAGTGTACAGACACTGTTGAACTATTGAAGTCAAATGGACTTGTTAATAGAATGGAAAGGAAAAAGTTCAAACAACTAAATTTTACATTACCTAAGAAGAAGGGACAGAGCAGATTATTATGAATTTAAAATACATGCTTTTGTTCTCTACTGAGTGCCAGATTTCACAGTCCTTAATCATGGAGTTTTAGGAAATGAAACAGATTTCTAAATTCAGATGGTTGTTGTTATTGTTGTAAAGTGCCATCAAGTCTGTTCCAACTCATAGCGATCCCATACAGGGTTTCCAAGGAGCAGCTGATGAGTTTGAACTGTTGACCTTGTGATTCAAACCAACTTAACAATCCAGTGCTTATCCTACAGTGCCATATCAGAACGCCAATATTTGTATATAATTAGGAAATTTTCTTTTTCTTTTTAACTACACCAACGATCCATTTGCATGGGCAAAAGAAACAGACGTGGACACAAGAACTAGGAGCCTCCCTGCTTTCCTACCAGTGAAGACTGCTACGTTGGCCAGAGTAATTTGCAAGGTAAGACAACAAAACATCAATTGTACCATAGCAGTTTGATTAGGCTAAATGTCCTAAGAGCTAGATCTACATTTGTTGGGGATCTAAACTCTGTAGAATTCTTATCTATAGTAATGTTTCCACAGCTCAACTCTCTTTCCACCAACAAAGACCATGGAAAACACACAATTCAATTTAGATTGACAACCAGAAGGCTTACCTATAAAGGTCTGCTGGGCTTGTGAGTTAGCCCCTACTCGTGGGGAACAGGAATGAGGATAGTTAGATGCATTAGCACCCATTGTCTTTAGTCACTCAGGCATCCCATCGGCTGGTTTTTCAGAGGATAATCCCAGAGGCCTTTATGAACCTTCAATCCTGGATCCAGCAGCCTCTTTTCATCCATTTCTTGATATAAAACAAAAATAATTTTGCTTTTTCAAATGTATCTCAAATCACATAATAATAAAATTAAAAAGCAAGCTAAACATGGGCTTTTATTTGCAAAATGATGACATACTGTCAAATTCACATGCAAAGAACTTTAGGAAGTGTAAACCACTATTGAAACATGAATTAGGAATCTAGGTTAACTGCAATTTTAACTCTACAGATATAGTTTCTGAGATAATAAAGATGTAACATGTTACATGGATGTTCATATCAACATTTATAGTGAGTCACAGGGAAACGATTTGGGATGAAAAGAAATGGTGAAATTCTTAAAACTACAGCTACGCCCATCATTTAACATTCTGAGTAGTTTATAAAAACTTGAGTCACATGCAAAGAGCCAATAATTCAGTAACTGGTTTGCTGTTTTTCTGCCTAATATCTAATTGCTAAATTGATCTTAAGGCTCGGACATTTTACTTACTGGACATTTTACTTGAAGAAAAGAAACAAAAGCTAGACAGCTAAAAACAAGTATCTTTAGGCTACCTGGTCCATAATAATTTAGACAGAAGATCTATACACAGAAAAAGAAACTTTCAAATCTAACTTCCTGTAAAGCCGTGGAATAAAATTACTGCTTTCTATGAGCTGATAACAGACTTCACCTGGACGGAGCAGAACCGGTAAGAGATCATTTTGACAGTTAGTGATTAAATTCTATACCCAAACTGAACTCGCTGCCGTTACGATGATTCTGACTCACAGTGGCCCTGTATTGGAATCCTGTATGGTGCTGTGTGATAAAGCACTGGAGTGCAGGGTTGGTTTGAACCACAAGGTCAGTTCAAACTCACCAGTCGCTCCTTGGAAACCCTATCCAGGGTTGTTAGAGTCAGAACCGACTTAACAATAGGGTTTCTGAGGCTGCAAATCTTTAAGGAAGGAGAAAGCCTCATCTTTCTCCCACATAGGGGCTGATGGGTATGAACTATTACCATTACGGTTAGCAGTCCAGCCCAGTGCTTTTTCTGCAGTGCCGTCAGAGCTCCTTAAATTCTACACCATAGATTCTTTATTCTGAGAGCTGCTGAGAGCAGACAGATACATGCACAAGAAGACACTGCAAGAATCTAACAGAGAAGACAGGGTAACTAGGAATACTTCTAAATCCTTATTATACCATCTGGATAGAGAAAACTTGTCTGAAAGAGAAAACACAATTTAAAATCTATTATTGAAACTGTTAGGAAACCAAACAGCAGGCAGTTCATCTAGCCTCACAATGAAATATGAAGTGTTTTAACTAAAGAGTTACACACACATCTACACAACCATCAAACAATCTGCTGGAAAACAGTATCGTATCAAGATTCTTAGACTTATTTTCATCTGTTAATGACACATCACCAACCCAATGCTGTCAACTAACAACGACCCTATAGGACAGAATAGACCCACCCCACAGCATTTCCAGCAGCAGTGGACTCAGAAGTAAACAATTGTGCAGACGGCCAGGACCGGGCAGTGTTCCATTCTGTTGTGTACAAGGTCTCTATGAGTTGGAACTGACTCAATGACACCTAACAACGACAACTAGGGTTTTCAAGGCTGTAATCAGATTTGTGGAAGCACACTGTACATCTTTCTCCCAGGAAGCTAGTGGGTTTCAACCACTGATCTTTAGCAATCAGTGCTCTGACCATGGTGCCACCAGATCTCCTTTACTCTGTGTATACATACAGAGGACTTCAAAACGTTCGTGGAAAAATGGGATTAAAAGATAAAAATAAGCAATATAATCTTTGGGACTTATGGTAAGATGGCGGACTAAGCAGACACACTACACAGACCCTTTTCAAACAAAGACACAAAAGACCAAATGAAACAGATGTGAATGATAAGTTCCAGAGGAAACAACAGAGAAGTAATTTGAATACTGACTAGGAAAAGAAATTTAACAAAAATAGCAAGAGAGGAGATGGATGGTGAATCGTCAGCTGCTGTGATGTGAAGAAGACACTTTGAACTCTTGCAAGGAGCTTTTCATAGAGACAGTGGTCTGGGGACGAGAAAGGCGGAACATCCCTTGTTCTACACACCCTCCTGGTAACTTGGTGTATGGCCAGCTCCCACCCTCACTCACCCAGTGACTAGTGATGTTCCCTGCCCTGCACAACCTGGGCCCTGTCTGAAGTTGGAACTATGCTGGGTGCACCTCGCCCAAGTCTAGATGCATCGGAACTCCAATACATTGGACAGGCAGAGCTCGAAGTGAGGTCCAATGAGTTGGAAACCCAAGAATTTCTTCCATAATCAGCTGTCTTGCCTCCAGCTGACCTCTAGGCCCAAAAGATTTCCTTCCAGGAAATCTGACCTCAGTCATCTTCTCAGTTGGCACAAACCACTTCCAGATCAGGTGCCTGATCCCAGACAGTATCTAGACATGCGGGAACTTCATCGAGGACTTCTGGCCTAGACTTCTGGCCCGAGACGGTCAACCCGTATTGTGGGCTTTGTTCCTCAGACTTTTTTTTCTCTGGGTCCTGTCCCAGCCCCACTTTTCTCCTTTCTCCTCACCTTTTTAAAAAATTTTATCTTTTGTTTCTATGCTTTTCGTCATTTCTCTTTTCTTTTTCCCTTCCCTTCTCATTTTTATACTTTCTCTTTGTTTTTTCTTTTTTTTCCCCACTCCCTAGTTTTGCTCAGGGAACACTGTGATTCCATACGATAAGCGCTGGACTGCGAATCACAAGGTCTATGGTCAAGCTTGCCAGCCGCTCAGTAGGAGAAAGATGAGGCTTTGTACTCCCACAAAGATTTAAAGCCTTGGAAATCCAATACAGGGTCGCTATGAGTCAGAACAGACTCAATGACACTTAACAATAAGTTCTGCTGAATGTTATTTCTTTTTTTTTCTTCCCTTGTTTTTATTTTCCTTGCCTTTCCCCCCTTTTAGCTAAATTCTTTTTTTTCTTCCTGATGTTGTCTGCCTGCTTTCCCCCAATTCTCTTTTATTATTTTCTTTTTTTGTTGTTCTATTGGTTTTCTCTTGTCCCACCCGACAGGAGACAACAACTGTGCCCACACTGCCCAGACACACCCAATATTTCCTACAGTTCAACCTACAGGTTGTATCCTTTCACCATACTTATTCAATCTGTATGGTAAGCAAATAATCTGAGAAACTGTTTTATATAAAGAAGAATGGAGTATTATGACAGGAGGAAAACTCACTAACAACTTGTGATATGCAGATGACAAAACCTTGTTTGTTGGAAGTGAAGAGTGCTTCAAATACTTATTGATGAAGATCAAAGCCTACAGTATTTGGTGTGGATTGCACCTCAATGTAAAGAAAACAAAAATCCTTACAACTGGACTAATAAATAACACCATGATAGAGAAAATACTGAACTTGTCCAAGAGTTGATTTTGCTTGGATCCAAAATCAACACTCATGGAGGCAGCAGTCAAGAAAGCAAACAACTGCTGCAAAAGATCTCCTTAAAGTGTTAAAGAGCAAAGATACCAGTTTGAGGACTAAGATGAACCTGACACAACCATGGTATTTTCCAGGGCCTCATATGCATTAGAAAGTTGGACAATGAATAATGAAGACTGCAGAATTGATGCATTTGAATTATAGTGTTGGGGAACAATATTGAAAGTGCTATGGAATGTCAGGAGAACAAGCAAATCTGTCTTGGAAGAAATATAGTCAGAACGCTCCTTAGAAGCAAGGAGGGGAGACTTCGCCTATTGTTATTTGGACATGCCATCAGGAGGTAACAGGTTGGACATCATCCTTGGTAAATTGGCGGGTCAACAAAAAAGAGGAAGACCCCCATCAAGATGGATTAGCACAGTAGACACAACAATGTGCTCAATCCAGCAAGTGTGTGAGCCTGGAGCAGAACTGGGCAGTGCTTCGTTCTGGTGTGCACAGGGAGGCTGTGACTTGGAGTCAACTGGAAGGCATCAAACAATAACAACACAACACAGGCCTTGGAAAGATCTGGGCTTGGGGGGAAGAGCAGATTTCGAGATCAGATATGACCCTCAAGTCCACCCTGTGTCCCCAGTTCTAAATCCTGAGTGTAACCTCTGAATTTGCAGTTCTGGTACTAAAGCCTTATTTCTTCTCAAAATTCTCAGGGAATAATTTCATTGATATCTCAGGTAGCCAAAATCCGAAGGCAAGTGAAACTGAGTATTATGTTCTTTATTCCTTAATCTAATGTACTGTCTTTAGATGCTGGAAATGAGAATTAGAGACTAATCTCCCAAGAGATATTTTCTTTCCAGGCAAGCCTGGTACATCTCTTGTAGACAGCAAGATAAAATTCAATCTTTGGATGATGTGGCAGCAAAGAAAAGGGAAAGAGAGGGCCTCCGGGGCGAGAGAGGTCCAGAGGATATAAACGGCCCTAGAAAGCTGATAAATGCTTTTTCTACAATCATCACTCTGGGGAGCTCCCTTCTGTTTATTATCAACATGACCAATCACAGTCTGATGAGGTGAAGAGCTTAAAATAAGCTCAGTGAATGCAGGAGAACATGAGGAAATAAAAAAGCCTGTGGAATGCAACAGAGAGAATAAACAACTCTATGAGAAATTAGAAGACAAACACACACACACAAGCCCTAGGCCAGGGGTGGGGAACCTTTTTTTGCCAAGGGCCACTTGGACATTTATAACATCATTCGTGGGCCATAAAAATTATCAAACTTAAAAATTAGCCTGCTGTAGCATAGTGGTTACGAATCGGGCTGTGAACCTTAAGGGCAGCAGTTCGAAACTACCAGCCGCTCCGCAGGAGAAAGATGAGGCTTTCTGCTCCCGTAAAATTTACAGTCTTGGAAACTCTGTACCGGGTCGCTATGGGTTGGAACCGACTCTACAGCATTTAACAACAACAACATATATATTTGGTCAAACATTTAATTAACTCACCCCCAATGTGCTGGTGGGAGTCCTGGTGTGGCGCTGTGGGTTAATGCGCCAGACTGCA